AGATTTTCACACAACCTCCCGCACCATGGATGACTGATAGTATCAGAGTTCTAATGCAAGACAGAGACAATGCGTGTGCTAAAGCCAAAGTCACAAATAATGAATCGGATAGAAAATTGTACAAATCTTTACGTAACGCTGTTATTGATGTCATACGAAGTGAAAAGAAACATTATTTCTCTCTTTCAATAAATAAAAATATTAAAAAACCAAATAAACTCTGGGGGGAAATTAATAAAGTAATGGGTAATCATTCACAAGATTCACTACCACCACATATTCGGGATCCAGAAGTTATCAATAAAACGTTCTTAGACTCTGTTCCTACGAACATAAATCGTACTAATCTACAAAATACCGATTATACTTGCAAACAGTTTGCAGACAAAAGTTTTAGTTTTTCGGAATTATCGACAGTGGAAGTGTTGAAAATTATTAATTCTATAAAATCAAATGCAGTTGGAGAGGATAAAATTTCAATTAAAATGCTTAAACTCACTCTACCACACTCCTTAACGGCTATTACTGCAATTATAAATAAATCGTTAAGCACAGGACATTTTCCCCAAAAATGGAAAGTTGCACTGATAAAGCCAATCCCCAAGAAAGCCAGTGTAGAGGCAATTCAGGACTTGAGGCCAATAGGTTTACTTCCTGTACTTTCGAAAGTATTGGAAAAAGCTGTGAATACTCGTTTGTTGGGGTACCTAGATACATATAACATTCTTCCCGAGCATCAATCTGGGTTTCGCATGCAACACAGTACGACTACAGCATTGATGCACTTAGTTGATGACGTTTTAACTGCCGCCAACAAAAACAACGGTTCGATAATGCTTCTACTTGACTACAGTCGCGCATTTGACTGTTTAAATAGGAAGATTTTAATAGACAAACTGCGCTATTGCGGTTGTGATAAAATAGTTTGCCAGTGGTTTGAAAGTTACTTCAATAATACGACACAAATAGTACAATGTACGGATGTATTGGGGTAACCGGTCAGATCTACCCCTCTCGAGGTCTCTCGAGGCGTGGTTCAAGGTTCTGTTTTGGGACCTACTTTATACTCTGTATACACGTTTGATCTTCTGGAGAATATAAGGTACGGAACTGCACATATGTATGCAGATGATACTCAGATCTTGGTACATACGCCATTAAATATTACTAAAATTAACAATGCTGTTCGTGATGTCAATGAGGATTTATCGGCAATTGTCCAGTGGTCTAATAGGAACGATCTTATATTGAATGCCCAAAAGTGTTTGTATATTTTGTTAGGTACTAAGAATCAGGTAGAGTGTCTAAGAGCCGCAAATCCGCAAATTACAATTGAGGGTAATGTATTAAGTGAGGCCAAGGTAGTAAAAAATTTGGGCTTATTATTTGATAATGGTTTGACTTTTGAAAAACATATCGACTCAAAAATAAAAAACTGTTACGGCTCATTGAAGCATATTTACAAACTTAAACCTTTTCTGATTAAAGAGGTAAGGCAACGATTGGTAGATTGTCTAGTACTTTCTCAACTTGACTATGGAGACATAGTGTACGGGCCTTGTTTACTAAGAAAAGTAGAAAAAAAAATCCAAAAAGTACAAAATTCATGTGTTAGATACTGTTATGACGTTCCTCCTCGCGCACACATAACTCCGTATCTTAATACACTTAGTATTTTAAGTATGAAAAACCGCAGAGTTTTAAAATTAAACACATTCGTTTATAATTTGCGTAAGTCCTGTACTCCAGCCTATTTGGCTAGAAAATTAAATTGGAACGATAGGGATGAGCGTAATGTACGGACAATACGGTATCCTTCTCTACATATAGCACCACCTCCTAGATTAACGCTTTACCGCGGGAGTTTCAAATTCGCTGCATCTAAGTGCTGGAATGATTTGCCTCCTCCAGTACGAAACTCAAAGTCATCTTGTACTTTTAAAGGAAAGTGCAAGCTTTGGTTACTTTCGAGGCAAAGATCAGAAAGTAATTGGATGTAGTTTGTAATTATATTTTTACGTGTGGGTACTGTTCATCTCTACCTAAACCCCAAATTTGAGTATTTTTAGGTGGAATATTTTATCTATCTCAGGTACTATAAGGACAATAGATTTATTATAACTTTAAGTGAGTATTATATATATATATATTTATTATTTTGTGATATCTTTTGGAGCTACTCGAGACGCGTCAGACAAATACTATGATTGAAATGTAGCGAGTTTCAAAAAGGTAGGGTCTGAAAAACAGCTTAAGCTGAGACTCTATCCTTTTTATCTACACAGTATCTATAAGTGATGTTATTTACGACTAAACTGTTTTGTAAATGTAGATAAATAATGTTCTTTATTATTTATTATTACTATTATTATTTAAATGCCAACTGTCCTCATTTTGCCATTTTTATAGTACCCTTTGATAACCGTTTCCGGTTGTCAAAGGGAAGTACATCAAATGTCAAAACCAATGTTTGGTCAAATGTTTTAGTGAATTATTCGCATGAATTATAATGAAATGGACAAAAATATTGCCAGTGAGAACAATTAAGTATTGATAAAAATGCGTCGCTGCGGCATTAAGTGGTGCGGCAGTAGAAAAAGCGGAAATAAACCGAATGTTACATTACACAGGCATGTGTTATTTTTCTGCCCATAAATCATACAATATAACGCACACACTCGACATAGCCCCGAACTAGGGAAACCCTGTGTCGCGGGTGCCATGGAAACCCAAATAGACAATTACAAATTACACCCAAACTCACGAGACAAATAAATGTAGGCCATACAAATATTTCTCCCGGCCCGGGAATCGAACCTGGGACCTCTGCATGGTAACCGTTCGGCCACGGAGGCAGTTAGCCCAAATATCTCATGTAATTAGACTCATTTAAGTAGTTTATTCATAAGTCTTGCCGAATTTTGGTTTGGTTACTTTACATTGCCTGTTTGTTAGTATATTTTGATGATTGTTGATAACGATTATTTTGAGATAGTGTTGTTCTTGTAAGCAGACAAATTATCGATATTCTGTTATTAAAACAATTCTCTACAAGGTTTTTATTATTTCATTATTATTATTTTTAAAGTTTACTTACAAATGAAAAAAGAAAGAAAGAATGGTTGGAAATTATGGGACTGCCGAACATAAACATTGGATCAAATACCATCTTCGTTTGTTCGCTGCATTTTGAAGAATCAAATTTTAATAAGACTTTGACTGTAACAGATTACATCATAATGCAATTCCATCGTTGCATTTATTGGTAAATAACTTTATATTTATCGAGTTCTTAGGTTTTCGCGATTATTACACATAGAAAAGAAACTATTTTTCCGGATATAAATCGCGTATATTTGTTTTTTAAAACAAACCGACGTTTCGAGCCCTTTACAGGTCCCATGGTGACGGATGACTGAGGTGGTACAGTCTTCAACCAGTTATGTCTAATATTAATGCAAACCACCCGATTTTTTCACTATAGTTATAATAGTTATTAATAAATCAACCTTATTTTTAAAATTACAAAGAAAGCATTTCAATTTACGCTATATTAAGTTTTACAAATTATTTTATTCAATGAATTTTTATTAAGTTCAATTTATTATTAGATGATAATAGGAATTAGAATAAACTAAAACATATTAATGAGGATTTTTCATTAGAGGAAATACTGGATCCCAAACTGGTGGTACGGCAAAACCATCTTCCCTATTGAAATTAGGATGTTTTTTAATTTCAATGGCCTCTCGCAGCATCTTGTGTGGATAACGGACTTCTTTGCAAGGTCAAACTTCATTGAATGTGTAGGTTTATCCATGACATACTCGCAAACTGCAGACTTGTTTACGCGACGGTGTTTGACATCGAGACTCGAGATTTGAGACCGCACTCACAGTCAAGCTTGTAAACTCCTGCATCCTGTAAGGGGATGATACATTTCACGGGTCTCAGAAACTGAGAAATCTTCCTCAGGGGCTTGAAATAGGTCTTGATAGATGCACGCTTGAGGACTCTTCCGATCTTGTCTGTAACACCTCTCACGTAAGGTAAAATGGCAGGTTTTCGCTCGACTGGTTTCACACAGGGCCTGCGGCATTGGCGTGGAATCTTCAACTTATTCGCATGTAGGACTTGCTTTATGTGCTGAAGTTTCCCTGCCAGATGATTACTGTCGCAGACACCATGTGCTCTCTTAAACAAAGATTTGCCTACGGTAGCTAACTGGCTAGGATGGTGATGGGAATTACCATTGAGATACCTATCTGTATGAGTTTTCTTTCGAAATACAATATGGCCTAAGGTGTTATTAGGATTTCTTTTAATTAAAACATCTAAGAAACCTAAAGTACCACAATTCTCTTGTTCCATAGTAAATTGGATCTCAGTACTAAAAGAATTAATATGGTCCAAGAAAGAAGGTATGCTATCTTTAGGTAATATTGTGTGAACCTGTACAGGGCCCGAAACGTCGGTTTGTTTGAAAAAACAAATATACGGGATTTAAATCCGGAAAAATAGTTTCATTTCCTAACTTTATATTTAATTTTGATTAAAATGGCTCATTACTTGCCTAGTAATAATAGCCTAGTATTAATCATACTTTGATTACAGTAAACTACACAAATTAGCAAACATAAAAAACAGTTTCAACATTCAAGTCATATATTTGCATGTCGATATTGACTTATCTATGATTATGGTACAACACTAAATCCGCCATATGTGTGGTACAATTTTGGTTTAGGTAGATCCGTTTATTCCGTAGATAGGGCACCTCCTTTCCATTATTTTTTTCCATCCTCTAAGTTCGTTAGCCAGTCCATGTACCCACTGCATCGTAGTTACTTACGTAACAAATCTCTTTTGATCACTGACTAATTTATTTACGTAGATGAAACATTGATTAGAAATGACACTGACACTTTAGAACATTGAAATTAATTGAAATTTATTGAATAAAACGTAACTTAAATTCACCTTTTGACCGAATTCCAACCTCACACGCTTAAGGAGAAATAATTCTCTGCTGCTTACCCTCTGGATGCTATGGCAGAAAATATCTCAAACAATGGAGAAAAACTGGATGTCGAATTTAAAAGGTATATGCAAATTTTGGCACCATACCTCAGCCAGCTAGTCGACAGCGATATAATTAATATATGTAATGCTTGGATTCATCGATTATCCAAAGTAAAAGAGAATGAAAAATACATACGGAATAGATATGCCTTCCTTTTATGCTACCAATTAGCTAGAGGTATCCTCGAGGATCCCTTTAACAATAATCCTCCAGAGGGTCCACTGCAACATATTTGCGAAGTACCAGATAGCAATTCTACTACTGAGATTGAATATGTCGTCGCAGACGGAGAACATGGCTCCAGTGGCAGCGTTCTCTTTAATAGTAAGAGATTTGATTCATCGGATATAGACTTCGTATCTCAAACCCATGAATACGATAATGACATTACAGGAAGCAGCAAAGACATTATCAACAAACTTTCAGAATCAGCAGCTTCACATAAACAAACAATTGTATGCTATACTTGTCCACAGCTAATGCAGGCTTGTGCTAGAGATGTTCTGAATACTTCAGGTGATCGTTATGAATTCAGAGCAAATAACCTTGTCAAGAGGCTAAGAGAAATAAAAAAAGAAAACATGTTGTTACACAATGAACTTTTAGAACTAAAAGAGGAATCAAGAATAAAGGATAACGATTTTAGTGAAAATTACAAAAATAAGCTATGCTATAGTGCAAATACTGATTACGAAATCGGAAAGACCATAAGCTTTACCAAAAACCAACCTAGCACAGTTAACTTAAAATCTTTGAAGAATCAATTGCAGGAAGACAAAAAAAACTACGTAAGTACCATAGCTAATTTACGAGAACAGTTAGATAATGTTAATGAAATAAAACGAATGGAGATGGAAGATCTTATAGGAAGGCACAAATTGGAAATAGTGAAAATAGAATCGTCGCTTCGTAAAGAATGTAAAGATATTTTTGATGATAATCTCAAGGAATTGAAAAATCATTACGAAAATTTAATATCTAGAATGAAGATCGATCATGATGCTGAAGTCGAAGTATTGAAAATGGACTATGAAGAAAAACTTAAAGAGAAAGAGAAAATCAAAGGAGACGAGGTCACTGAATTGAATAAAAAGTTGCAGGAACGAAATTTGGAAATCGTAACACTTAAATCACAGTTAGAAGATCAGAAAAGGAATTTGGATATGTTTTTCAGTAAACTTTCCGGAACTAAATCATATGAAGATGCAAGCTATACCACTAAAACAAAAACCAGTGAGTTAGAGAAGAGAATGTATAAGTTAGAGAAATCGAAAATTAAATGTGCCAAGTTATACGAAAATAAAATTCTCTACATGCAACGAGAAAAGCATTTGGCTGAATGCTCGTTGCAGTTACAACTTGTGAGACAGCGAGCTCAAGTCGTGAACGAAATAACTGAAGAAAACCAAGGTGAACTAAACACTGCGTTGGAAAAATTAGAAAGTAAATACAAAGATATTGTGGCTAAAGTCCAATCTACAGCTATACAGAGACGATTACAAGATCAGTTAGCACTGGAATCTATTATACAAAGCACTCTCAAGCCACGAAATGATTACGCGTCAGCAGCAGCAACTAATCATAGTCAGGTATCGGGCAAGAATATTACTATGAGACAACGTAAAGATCAGATTAATAGTTTTGATAGTGAAATTTCAGGTGAATTTCTTTTGATACCTCCACTGAAATTGATTAGGAATAAACAGAATAATTCATGGGACATACATTTTGCTGAAGCCTCTGAAACTTTGCTAAAAACTGAATTAAACTGAATTTATGAAACGTCTTTGTAGCATTAACGTACGTAACCAGCCGTGGAAACAAATTTCAGTGCAATGTTTAGTGTTAGGAAAGATTTTTTTAACCGGCTTTAAAAAAGGAGAAGGTACTCAGTGTATTTTTTTTTTTTGTATACTAAGGGTTTACTCCGACATTTATAACTCGATATCGCTGATTCTTTCTTTGTTGGAAAGGGGGTACCTCAGTTGTGGTTTTATTCAAATTTGGAGAAAATATTCCACCTCTAAGGGTGACTAAAAATAAAAAACAGTGAATACTTTTTTTAACAATTTTATTAATTTTTTGTTCCAAGGTTTGCGCTCCAGAACGGCTCCAATAGACACGACATTTTGCGATGAGAATGGATTCTGCCTAGATAGTGGCCGCCTTGAAGAACTATTCGAAAAGGTGTTCAAACCACAACGGGATACGGTAGAAGGACATCCTTAAAGAGAGTTTAAACTATTTGTCCTTTGAAGGAGATGTGGTCAGTTTAGTAACAGGCTATTTCAAAGCCCTTATATATATATAAAACATATTTAAAGTCGGGGTCTGCTCAGGTATGCCTTAGTAAATCAAGTTGTAAAGTAAACGTAAAAACGTAACATAAAATTTTTTGTACACTTACAAATCATAACTCGACGCTGGATAGGTAAAATGTCTAAAGCACATTTGGGAAATATTACAGGAAAGCGATTTAAAGCATTTAAAAAAAATCATAACTAATTTTTTTTGTTATATGGAAAACTACAAAATTTTCAGCTTTTCCAGGTAACAAATAAAATTGATATTTTTTTTTTAAATTTAAATAGCTGTAATATCTTCCAAATGCACGTTAGACGTTTTACCTTTCCAGAGTCGAATTATTTAATCACTAATATTAATTTTAATTTTTATTAACAACGTTAAATAGTTCCTTTTCCTTTTTGTTATAAATGATTCTGTCTCATAAATTGTAAATTGTTCTGTTTTTTCTTCGTGCAATGTATGGATTGTTTTGGTCAAGTTAATAAATATTGAATTCGATTGAATATCATGATGACATTAATTTTATTTTTTGTGACATAAAAGTATTTTGAGTATACAAATATCGAAGGCAAAGGATAATTCATTCGACTATTGCAGTGGCACTAGCATGGCAATATATCACATGCAATGTGTGATGAACCTCCCCGTGACATAGTTTAATTCAATTGATAAAGCTGTGCGATAAGCGCTTTTTTGTAACGAAATAGTGTCAATTGTGTAACGCACAAACTGTATACAAAGAGCTGCAGGAAGCATCCGTTCTTCCACTGTGCTACCATTGGTCAAAATTTGCAGTATTATACTACACACACCGGCACATTTAGCGGAACGAAAAGAAGTAAGAATATAAAGTAGTAACATTTACATTGTAAAACTGCCGCCGTGGTCGAACGGTTACCATGCTGGTCTGCCACGCAGAGGTCCCGAGTTCGATTCCCGGACTGGGAGAAATATTCATATGGCCTACATTTATTTATCTCACGAGTTTGGGTGTAATTTGTAGTAGTCTAGTAGTCTGTGTGTATCCATGGCCCTCGCGACACAAGGTTTCCCTAGTGCGTGGCTGCGAGTGTGTGCGTAAAATAATAATAATGAAAAGAATAAAAAAAACAAATAAATAAGAATTATGCTGCCGACTATAGCTACAATTTAAAGCTATTCAGGACAATAGTGACTAAGCATTTACTAGACAAACGAGTATCGGCCACAAATTCGGTCGTCTATTTTACTTACACAAGAATAAAGAATAATAAATCATGTCACTATGAGAAGTAGAAGTCAATAAATCTTGTATTAAATATCCTAAGAATGTGGTACAGGGTCAAGAGCACGTCAAGCTTGACAATTAGGATTTAAATCTAACTCTATGCCCATAGACGAACGAACATATATAAGAACGATCCAAAGTAAAGCTAAAGCAATTCAAGCTTGACGTGCTCTTGACTGTACGTTCAGTGTCATTGTTCTTTTTTCCAGTGTATTGAATCTATGACAAATAACATTTTATTTTTCTACCATACTTAATCTGTGGCTGCTATTCCTACATGAATATAACGCTACATGAGATAACGCGACTAGCAAGTCGTTAATATAGATGAGGAATAACAAAGGCCCCAATATTAATCCTTGCGGGAAACCTACATCTATCCCTAAGGTCAGAAAGGACGCATTGAACCATTACAAATTGGTTTCAATGTGAAAGATAGCGTTTTATTAAACTTCGTTCATTATTTTTCAGGCCGTAAAACTGTAGACTATTTTTAGGAGAATGAAGTAAAATTTTATGTCTTAGGCAATTGAATGCCATTGATAGATCCAAAAGAGGGATTAGTGTACGATTGCGATTTTGACCAGCATACTACGAAATTATTTTTCTCCTAGAATGTACTTCTTTGTCTTTCAAATATCGATTTCATAATTTTTACATACTTATACTTTTGACACGAAGCATACCGGTCTGTTATAGGGTACAATGTCTTTCTCGTCAAAAGTATTTATGCCGTACTTTCAACATCAGGCAAGGTTCCCATGTTAACGTTTTGCAAAATCAACATTTAAACACTCTAGTGTTCATCCACATTAACGAAAATAGTTTAATAATTGACTTATTATGTCAGGACGTTCCTGGTAATTTAGATATTTTTGAGATAAGATAAAGTTATTCTAGACAGCAATCATCGACATCTTTATATTCTTTTTTTTCAACGTTAGAATTTGATTTATAACGCATTCAATTTTCATAGTTTTTTCTGGTTTCTTAGCATTATGTAGGTACGATATATGTTTATCGATACCTATAGATTATGCTCCACTGACATTACAAACTACCTTAGTAAAATAACGATTCAAATATTTTGATTTTGTTTTAATCACCGAGCGCTCCGTTCTTTTATTTTAATAGACACTGTTCGTTGGGCGTTCTTTTTAGTATGTTATTATTGGATGTTTGAATTATTTTTATATGTTGATAAATTCTAGCCGAAATCATCACCTGCGAAAACACCATCATGTTTTACTACCGTGCTTCATCTGTTGCCATGCCGACGCGGCCGCTCTCACCAACTGATTTTGTCTATCTGCTTGTTACAGATCTTTTTTATTAGGTCTAAACGGCTATTTCGCCGTCAGCGAAATTTTCTATTTTTTATTTCTTTCTATGAGAAATTAAAATTATGAATAGAAAGATCGAACACTTTGAAAAAAATCCTTCATTCCGATCGGATTGGAACCAACGTCTTCTAGCAAACCGTGCTAGGCGTTATGCCAAGTAAAACACCTCACTAATTTTTCTATGTGCTTGTTGTCGGATCTTTGTATTTGATTTTTCAACGGGTTTTTAGACGCAGCGCCATCTATGAAAAATCTATGAAAGTATTTCATCACCCAGCTTTCATGATATTCACAACAAAAACACAATCCACCAACCAGTACTGTTGTTAACGCAAGTTTTTACACGTCAGCGAATGCTGTACTGATTTTATGTATTTATAAAAAAACGTGAAAATGGTACACCCGTAGTGGGGGCCTACCACAACCTCTTAAAACAATATTACTTTAACCTTACATTGACCTAATTACATTAAGCGCGTTATGGTACGCGCTTAAAGTAAGCTTATTGTAATGTTAAAACTATGTTGTTTTATTGGCAGCTTTGTGACTATTCATTCACTCAGTTCGTACTATGACGCGACTTTAACATTAAAGTAATATTGCTCGTATGTCAAATTTAGCAATCTTAAAATAGTTACTTAAAAAAAATTGGAAACAATATTATTTTCGGTTTTATTGTCTTAATATTGATTTGTAATTATTAAAAGTTAAGTTGTACTTATTTATTCACATATATCTCTTCAATATTTTGTTTATTTTTTATTTAATACATACTAAATAACACATAGCACATAGTAAATAATTTTTCGTTAAATAAAAATACGCGATGTTTATTTCGTAAAACTATAACAGCACCATCTACATGCTCCTTGGCGAAAATAACAGTTGACACTAGACTATGATTCCGAATTAACACCGTGACTATCAAGACTCAGCTTGTTTTATTTATTTTACTTCAGTACTACGGAACAATTATTGAAAACAACGTAATTTTAATAGATTTTATTATTAGATACTTTCTTTTTTTAACAGTCAAAATTCTCTGAATGGAAATAACATCAAGTACTTAAACATTATGACTACGATATGATGATTTGGAACATCAAAAAAGAAAGAGATGGCATTATATGGTTCACATAGCGTTATCTCTTTCCTATTTTTAGTAAGGAATAGACAATATTGGGAAATCATTCGTTCTTTCAATCACTTTTGCAATAATACATTACTTGGTTGACAGGTTTGTCATGATACGAATATGAGTAATATTATAATAAGCTTATGTTAAGCTTACATTGAAACAAGATTCTTTTTGAAAAGGTTATGGTAGGCCCTCTGAATCTATCTACATGAAAATGCAAATAAAAAAATATTTTCTTTGATATCAATTATTAATACAAAGATCGAACACTCAAAAAAAATTCCTTCGATCCGGCCGCATTCGAACCGACGTCTTCTAACATACCGTGTCAGACGCTATACCAACTAATCCACGGAACGAACCAACGGATTTCACGAATTTTTCTATGTGCTTGCGTCGTATCTTTGTATTTGGTTTTTCAACGACTTTTTAACCGTAGCGCCATCTATGAGAAATCTGTGTTATTTCTTCACTCAGTTAGATACCTTTACAGCTACCAGCCCCGGTTAGAGATGTCGCTATTCATTGTGTAACGAGCATCAAGAATTGTTAGTGAAAATGTGGGTAACACAATATCATATGGTGGGGGGCATTCAGCTAATTTTAACAAACCGCTCACTCGCTAACTTTGGTGTTTCATTGACGATGCACTGACGACGAGAACGGGATTTTTTTTTCACTCTCATTTAAATAATTAAACTGTGCGTGCTAACCTAAACTCGACTTTATGCCAATTGGAAAGTTAGAACCGTTCAATTTAAATTCTAAACAATGGCCGTATATGCGACGCGTAAATCAATTTATTTTATTGAACGAAATAAAGGATGATTTAAAATTGCCTATGTTAATAACGGTTGTAGGTGAAGCTACATATTCACTAACGTGCGGTCTGTGTTCAACAAAATTCCCAGAGAATAGAACCTATGACGAATTAGTGCAGTTAATTTCGAATCATCTAGAACCACAACGGTCTGAAATTGCGGAACGACATGTGTGCAGATTGCGCAGGCAGCGCACAGGGGAGCCGTTTGCTTGGAGTATTTGCAGGCTTTGAAACACCTCGCCGCCACATGCAATTTCGGAAGGTACCAGACGTGCTCTTCGGTAGAGGAAAATCTTCGAGATCAATTTGTTTCTGGTCGGGCGCGAGCGGAGGCTCAGGCGCTGGCGCGAGCTGCGGGCCGCCAGCGCAGGCCTGTTGGAGATGCGGCAATTGTAATGAGTGTACACAAAGAGGGCATTTAAAAGCGATGTGTAAACGGCGGAGTGGTAGTGGTCGAGTGGCGAGTTGACAACTACGTGAATGGTGAGGAGGAATTGGATGATTTGTATAATATTGAAGTCGCCGCGAAAGGTAACAAACCGTATTTCATTGAGATAGGTATAGATGGTTATAACATTGAACGTGAAATCGATACCGGAAATCGCATTTCGGCGTTAAGTGATTGTTTATACAGCCGCATATTTTCCCATAAAATTATCAAACCACACAATTTCATTTTACG